AGTGCATGCTGCAGTGCTTTTGTTGAAGATTCCAGGGGCCAGGGATATAGCTCAGCAGCACAACACCTGCCTGGCAAATGCAAGGACGTGAGTTCGATTGCTGGTACCAAAAAAGAAAGAAAGAAAAAAAAAGAAAAAAAGATTCCCGACTGACTCTGACTTCCTGCTGGGAGCCTGAATCTCCTCCATAGAGTTGCTGAACACAGGCCAAGGCCTGTCGGTCACCAGCATGCTAGGGTGGCTGCCACTTCTGCTCTCTTCTCCTGCTGCCCACAGTACACAACTTGCTGACCATGCCACAGACCGCTGGGCAAGGCCTGACTGACCACAGGAACCTTCCTACTCTACACACAGAGAAATAGTTTAACCACTAAATCAAAAACCTGAATGTAGCAGCTTCTTTGAAGGAGTTGGCTCTGGGAACACTGCTTTATTTGTAAGTTTTAAAGAGGAATCCAAAGGCATAGGTTGCTTAGAATACTTTTAGTTGCAAGAAAACTGAGTCACCAGTATAAATCAACTCTTATACACAGTATACCTTCAGTAGTCCCTGTTCCTGCCCTTCCTGTCGCCACCTAGCATGTACTCAGTTAAAAGACTAAAGAGCAAAGATGGATTAAAAAAGTAGTTTCATAGTACTTAGGGCAGGTCCTAGCTGAGAGCAAAGGAAAGAATTAGTGTCCTTTGGAGAAAGCTGAACTAGACTATATAACAAAAGCAAGCTTTTAACAATTCCATTTTCTTCTGGATTGGAAAGTAAATTTCAGATTGGCTGTGATGTCCTTGAGTGAAAGTCATAAAGAGCCTTGCCTGCAACACGCTTTCCATGGGGAAACCTAATAAAAATTTGTTAATGCAATGTGATTCAAAATTACTATGAAAGTTAAGAATAATAAAGCTGAACCTAAATAAAGCTCCATTAAATGTGTTTATATCTGCATTAGACTTAAGCTGTGCTGGCAATGAAAAGTTTTTACTTCTCATTGTTCAACAGTTGCAAATGTACCAGAAAATACTGGCTGAAGTTGCCTAACTGAAACCAGATAGGCCCAGACTTCCAAAAGCCATGAGAATGAAATAAATCTCTCCACTCAAAATAATCCAGACATTTTAAGTATAGCAATCACGTGCCATTTAGCATTAAGAATGAGTCTGTGTTGGTTTTCAGTAAATATATAATTAAGTAAATACAAATGAACTATTCAAATATTACATGAGCATGTTGAAGCAAAGTTATATGACCTCAGGTTGCATATGGACCTTGTAGATTCAAGTATTATTTCATTTTATCAAGAAATGTAACATGAGTGTTCATTGTAGGGTTCCTGAAAATTGATTTGGTGGAAGAAAATCTGGCTTCCAAAATTGGATCTGATCTTCTTACAGAATACTAATTAGCATTCACAATGATTTAAAGAGCACTGAGAACTCCATACCCAAATGGCATTCCCAGATCCACCATTTTTAATTATTCCTTTTTGTAACTTCCCTGTTAAAATGGAAATATTCCCGTGAGAATGTTATTCAAACAGAAGTATGCATGGATATTGTGAAGTTTTTGCTTAAAGGGTACCTGTAGTTTAATTAGAAAAGAAAAATGCATTAAAATTTCATTACTTGTAGAAGGCAATATGTGGTATTGTAATAATAATCATAATAATAATGTAGTACATTTGTTGTGTACTGTATACTAAAAACCATAATAAGGTCTTTGTATGTAATATATCATTTAAGATTTACAGCAGTCCTATCTGGAAGATAGTAAGGCATAGAAATGTTAATAAACTTTTTCATGGCCACACAGAGAGATAAATGGTGAAACTGGCATTCAAAACACAGTAGAATGGTTCCAAAGCCCATCCTCTTAAATGTATCTCTGAAGGACATTCCCAATAGTCACAATTTCTTTGCTCATTTTTGTAGTAAATACCGTAAGTAGAATTTCAGGGAAGAAGACACTGGGACAGAGAACCCTACCGGGGATTCTCAACTGAATTGAACAGAGGGACAGCCACTGTCCCTGGAAAACTCTGAAGGGAGAGCTATAGCATCCTCATCTACTCACCAGAGACACCTGCACCTTGAGGCCTGGGGTGAGGGCGGGGGCCAGACTCCTAGATGTTCCCTTCCTCCTGTCTCCTCAAGCTTCTAGAAGACATTTCCTGTATCAGCAGAAAAATTCACTCTAAGCTTTGCCTTTGCCAACACCATGAAGATGAAATGGACGAGTATGTCTACCCATTGCAAAATGAACATCTAGATGAGGGTATATACTGTCCCCCAGGACCTGTAATGATGTCGTCTAATTTCCCAAAGAAAAGGGCAAAACTGCTGCTCCTATACGGTGCTCTAACACCCACTCTAGAAGCCCTGCTCCTCAGCGCTTCCTGCCGCTCAGCTTGAATGTAGTTGTACCTCTGTCCTCAGTGTGGACTAGACTGGGAAGAGAACCCGGATGAAAAGTTTCTTAACATGTTCCCACCAGCTTGAATCACCAGTGGTACATGCGTGACTGTCCCATTGGGCAACTTAAAACCACCCGATGAGACTGTCTGTGCCATCAGTGCAACGGTCATGCTTATAACCTCTGGTATATTACAGCGCTGTCATGAGCATATTAAACTCCTGTCCCAAAGTGAACCCTCCGTGAAATGGATTGTATAATTTTCATGATTCATACACAGTAATGAATGAGATGAAAATAAAGTAGTAAGAATGGATACTGACATGATGACATCTGAATTTTTCCTATCAATGAGGCACTTACATATTCCTAACAGAAAGTCTGATGTATTCTTGACATAATGCAGATTATCCAAGAACTCCATGGTTGCTTAGCCAAAGAGTTTAATCTTGAGCAGGAGTGTATCTTAACAGCAGTGCCCATGTCTAGCACACAGGAGAGCCTGTGTATTGGTTAAATTCCCAGTACGGAAACAACAACAAAGCTTAGACTCCTTTTATAGATGCCAAAGGAAGAGAACAAGCCAGACCTGAGTGGTTCTCTTTCATCATCTTTCTTGTGTGGAATTACATTGAAGGTGTGTGTCCCTTGAGGGTTAGTAGCTGTTAGGGTGAGCTTGTAGGTCCACTGGGACCCACAGCATGTGAAATTCTGATCGCCATTCTGTTTCACAATCATATCCTCAACCATGGTTCCCCAAAACCCAAGAGTAGTGTCCAGGAACAAAAGCGCTTCTAACACATCACAGGCTGTTTCTAAACCAGCCTTCCTCTACGCCTTGAGCATAGCTCACCTGTCTAGACTCTGTCTTGCTTCCGAAACTCCGAAAATCCCTGTCACATAAGCAGAGTGGTTTACCTCCTCCTGAGCATTTAGCACGGCATCCAATAGGGACTGTCCTGGCTGGCCATGGTGAGGTTTCCAAGGTTGTGGTGCAAGTGGTGTCACTCAAGTGTCTGCCCCCAGAAAGATGATCCTCATCCAGGTGACTTCAGTGAAGACTGCTAGATGTAGGAGAGTGTACCATCATTTTTAAAGACTCCTCTTTTGGGTATCCTGCTTGCACTTTGCAAAAGGCACACAAGGAAGACACGTGCCAGAATGTATACATCCAAATGAGTGTGATCCTTTAAAAGTTCCTCAATGGGAAATGTCCAAAGATGTATTTCAGTGATTTCTTTTAAAATGGCCTTTCTAAGCCCCCCCAACATATATATATATATATATATATATATATATATATATCAGTTAAGATAGTTATACTACTAATTACTAATTTCTCTTAGTTCATTGAAAAGAAAGCTTTGTGCTAATACTGTTTGGACAATTAAATGCCAATATCCTGTACTCAGTCACTAATTTAAAAATAACAATACACAATTCATTAACCATTGTTACCATTTTGTTTTTTTCCTCTTTAAAAAAAATAAAATGACCTTTCTAGATAGAGAGTGTATAATTTCTGCACAGGTCTCTATTTAATGAATTCATCACTGTATACTGATCAGGAATCTTGCTCCAATAAAGGAACATAAAGATTTTTTTAAATGGCCTTTTTAGGGAATTTCCATCTTCTTGAAAGATTGAAATTCATTGATCTTTCCTGATTTGTTTTCAGTGAGGGGATGTGGGGTTATGTGGGGGTTCCAGGGCTGAACTACCCATTTTACTTTCCAGAGTCCACTACAAATGGCCCTTTGCTCCTGAGTAATGAGAGTTAAAACCCCATGTGATAACTCTAAAGAATTGCAGATGTTTTCCAAGGTTATTTTCAAGAAAAAGACAAAATTGTTTTTGAGCAATAAATTGGTACCCTAAGAGAGGAAGTACATCCAACCACGTACCAGGCAGCATCAAAGAAGGTAGTCCTAGTTTTAAATACGTGTTCTGGCAATTGAACATCCTGTGTTAGAGAAGTTCTGTGTTTTTGATAGGTGTTATTGTTTGGGTCCTAGGCTCAGGGTTCAGAGAAAAATTAAAGCAGCTTTTGCAGATTTGCCCACAGAATGTACCAGTACCTGGCTGGATTCCTGAAAATGAGAAGAAACTTTTTATGGTATCTTATTTTTCTAGGTACCTCTGCATAACAGTAAATCTTCTTTAAATCATAGTGTGACCCAGTTGTTTAAATTAATCATTTAAAAAGCCACTTCCAGGGTGGTACGTAATGGCATAAGCAAGCCTGTAATCAAGAGACAGGAGAATCACCCCAAGTCTGAGGCCAGCCTGAGCTACACAGTGAGTTCAGTCTGGACTACATAGAGAGACCCTGTCTCTAGAAAAACCCACTTCCCTTCTTGGCTGTCCCAAAGAAAACAACTTTAAAAGGCAATAATATTCCTCATATATGCTAATTAATTGTTTTCTCATTCACTTAGCTTTTGCGAGAAATTTGAAACTGTCTTTGTGCTCTTACTAGAATGGGAGAAAAAATATGAAATCTCCAGTTTCTGAAATACCTAATTGTCAGACAGTTTATGAAATGGGCATCAGGTGAAGGGCAAGAGTGTGACTAAGGCCTGGTTACCTGTGCCAGGGCTCCATGGAGAGAAAGTGGAGAAGACCCAGACAGTCCCCCTGCTGCCAGCCCCATCCAGCAAGAAAGAGGTGAAGGTGGCATCTTTGGGGCCAAAAATAAGGCCTGTTCATGATTCGTGAGTGAATTTTAAATGATGCTTTATACTCAGATTCATTTCTTTCTGTTTCTTGCATTACTCCAACACTCGCCCATCCCTGCCAGATGTGTTGCTTTTTCCTTCTTCCTTGGTCTCCTGGTGCTCAAAATCGGCCTAGGACTTTCTCAAGTTTAAGTTTAGCCACTAAATCATGTCCCTGTGGTGTCAGTTTCCTTCCCTATTTGGAGGATATGCAAATATGCTTGGCTTAATCCTCATCACCTGTCCTGTCCCAGAGGGCCCAGACTGCAGGCAGGCCCTGGGGCACTGGGATGGGGTGCCTAGGAGAAGGCACGAGAAGAATGATTGTAAACGGTGGTGGCGCCAGGCCTGTCGGTCGCGCTCCCACTTGTTGGCAGCCCCACATCTGCTGAGAAGCGTGCAGTTCCATCCAGGCAGCCACAGCCTCCCAGTGGGAGATAAGCTGAGCAAGGAGCCCACGTCTGGCAGCCGGATTCCAGGCCCAGTAGAATAATGTCTGACATTCGGCTCGGGAGCGTTGGGATGGGTTGCATGGAGTCGAGTGCACGGGAGCCAGCAGCTGCCCTGTTTTAACTTGGGCTGCTGACAGTTCCTGCTGAGAGCACTTGTTTCTGAATTCAACAAATCTGGAAGCTCAACATTGTAATTCTGGATTTTCATTTGGAAGAGTCATATTACTGGAACCCAAACCCTTGCTAACATTGCCCTCAGGACATGCTGATCTTCCCTGTACCGTGGAGTAAAGAAGTCATCCAGTGCCAGATGACTGTCCTTGGGAAAAGCAGTAGACAGATACGCTACACCCACAGGACACAGGCAGTGAGGATAGTGCCAGGCTCCCCAGGGAACCACTGAGAATCCTGTGGAGATGACCGTAAACAACAGCAGCGCTGGTTGTTCCCCCACATCTGTGTCCTCTTACAGTCCCCTAGGTCTTTAAAGAGATCCCGTAAGGGGCTACAATAGGTGGAAGGGAACTTTAACATGTACAAAGCAGACTGTTTTTCGTCATCCTATCACTTCCCATTCATTCCAGGCAAGTGTTGGACATAATGTTTCGCTGCCAGGGTGAGGAGCTTTGAGAAGAGGTCTCCTTCCTTCTCTAACTTGTTAGAAGCATGTGTTTCTGGGTGCTCCAAGAGGGTTATGAATTACCTAGCACAGATTAACTTTAGTAAAAGGAAATATTTTAGTCAAATGCTTCCTCTGTTAAATACTCTCAGCTATTACGGAAAAAAAATACCCACTATTAAGTTTTTAATACTTTTGCTGACTTGAAAACATTATGAAAAGTTCCTATTAAAAGTTGATGATTATTTTGCTGACTTTAAGAGTGTTTTATAGCCAATATCAAATGTGGTTTGAACAGCATTGTCTAAATGAAAATGAGACCTTGTTTTATTTTGTCTCCTACATTTTTCCTCATTTTTATCTTTATATATGAATTTATTTCATTAATTATATATATATAATCCAAAAAAGTTTAAAACATAATATAAAAAACCCTATAAAAATTTATACTAAGTTCTCTAAAACACTTGAGAAAGTCACTGAATTTTTCGAGGCATATACTTCACTAGAATGCAAAGTTTGCTGGGGAAATCATAAAGTGTGTTCATGTAGTTAGCTTCTTTCTTCTTCCTCATATCTAGGCCTCTAAAGCCTCATATTCTTCATGGATAATCCCAAGAGTTATGATGACAGTAATGAAGTAATATAACCCCTAACACTCTGCCTTACATTGCGAGTTCCCAAAGACTGTGTCCTGTACAAGATAACAAAAAATGCTCGCTTCTACGGAGACTTTGGGTGAATCGGTGTCAGCCTGCTGTTAGGACAAACACCTTTCCAGTGAGATCTGATCTGTGTAGTTCCAGTAATCATGATTTGTATGAAAAGTAGTTCTGGCAAGCAAGCGACTGCAAACTTCTCGCCTGTAGAGGGCTCTATAACACCGTATTTTCCTAGACAACACTTGGAAAAACCAAAAAACTGGAAACTTGCTGGAGGGGGAAGGGGAAACAGGAGGTAAGCTTTATAATGCTTCCAGCAGTCAGTCTGCTTGCAGTCTGGTAAACAGACCAGGGATTGTGGGCAAAGGCCTTCGCTTTGAGTTTTGCACCAAGCATGAGATCAGATGACTCTGTCCGGACTCATTACTTTCATAGCCTCGAGCTAGTTCACACAGCAGCAGGAGTCCACTGAAAAGGCATTTCAGAAGGAGACCAGAGAACATGGCGGACAGACAACAGCAACTACCAGAGGCTCTCTGAAAGGTTCGGCTCAGAGGCCAGAAATAATGCGGACTAGGGAGACACGAATCAGTAGAGATATGCTCTGCTGACTCAGGAACGAACTGGGCTGAGAGAATCCAACTTGGAATACAGTCCTGGCGCTAAAATAGGAACAGAAAAATCTCGGTGTGGAGGCTCGACTCCGCGCCATCGGAAACCGGTTTGGATTTCCCGCCGTGCGGCGGCCGGCTATCTCCACAGCGGCTCAGCAAGGAGAGACGCGCCGAGCTCTGGGAGCGCCGAGCTCTGGGAACGGGAGAACGGAGTCGAAAAAAAAAGGACGGACAGAGGTGTACACGAAAACTGACTGGTGGCGAGGTGAGTGAGAATCTGACCCCCCACCACAGTTTGACTCTAGCGGAGATCTCTCTGGGCGCCATTCCCCTCTCGGACGGGATTGGAGAAAAGTGCCTGGCCTGAGTGACGCTGCTGGCGGACTCTCTAGGCTAGACTAGCCTAACCCAGATCCCAGAGCCGGACGATGGCCCGGAGGAGCGACTGACTTCCGCGTAGGCTGCCTCCTCCGACTCCCTGGTGCGCAGCGGTGGGCGGGAACAACTAGCCAGCGCAATTTGATCAGGCTGTGGCTGACAGGCAGGGAAGCCGGGCCTCCTTTGTAAGATTGCATTTTATAAGGAACAAAAAATATGGGGAAGGGAAGCAACAAAAAAAGCTCCTCGGCCCCCAACCCTGAGAAACAGGCAATAATGGATGCCGCACCAGTATACATTAAGCACCATATTGAGAGCCTCATAGACCAATTCAGGAATGAAGTTATCAATGATCTGAAGCTAGAAGTATGCAGAATAGTTAGAGAAATGCTAAACACCACCCAGGAAAAAACAGATGGTGGAATGGAAGAACAGAAAAAGAGGGGAGAATTGCTTGATGGAGAAAACAGAGAAAGCATTGAGTATGTGAAGCAGGTTCAAAGGGACTATCAAGAAATTAATAAGTCTATACAAGACTGGCATAACAGCTTGAAAGAAACTAAGGACAGACTATCTGAACTGGAGGGCAGACTTGAAATATGGGAGAATGAAATGAAAAACTTCTTAAAAATAACAAAGAAACAAACAGCAATAATACAAAGACAAGAAGATGATAAGAGGAGCCACCACTTAAGGATTAAGAACATAGAAGAAGAAGTAGGGACACAAACAAGTGAATTACAAAAGCTACTCACAGAAATAATCCAGGAGAATTTTCCTAATTTAGCAAAAGGTAAAGATACTCAGCTGTATGAGGCATACAGGACCCCAGCTACCTACAACCCTAACAGAGAAACACCCAGGCATATAATAATAAAAATCCCAGAAATTCAATACAAGAACAGAATATTAAAAGCTGTAAGAGACAAGAAACAGATCACTTACAAAGGAACACCCATCAGAATTACAGCAGATTTCTCTTCACAAACCATCAAATCACGAAGAGCATGGGGGGAAATAATTCAAGCTTTGAAAGATAATAATCTCCAGCCAAGATTGAGATATCCTGCACAACTGTCCCTGGAAATTGATGGAAAAACGAGGTGCTTCCAGGATAAAGAGGAACTGGGGGAATTTGCAACCACCAATTCAACTCTACAGAAAGTATTGCAGGATATTCTAAAAAAAGAAAAATACAAAGAACCCAGAAATAGTGGCAGGGAGGCCACAACGAATGGAGCAGAGAACAAAATGAAGAAGACAAACTGACAGCTACTGACAGAAAAAGAGCTCAACAGAAATGAGACAGAGAAGATTGGATGATAGGAACAGCTATTTTTGAGAAAATGACATCTTAATAGGTAATGCTGATTCAGTACCATCTTGTTTTGAAGTCTCATCTAGCTTTTGTTCTTCTGTCTCCAATGGTCTAACCAGGTTGTATCTTATTGGATTTTGTTATGTATGTTAGTATAAGCAAAAACCTTTTAAAGACAAGGAGATTATACAGAGACCATTGTTCATTTTCTGTTAGTCAATTCCAAATACTCTATAATGCTGTCATTCTCTTAAATGGTTTTACATTGTTTTGATATACTTAATGCTACAGTATATGAAGTTGTACTCAAGGACTTCAGGGAGGGAGTCAATATGGTAACTATTTTTAAGTCGGAAATATCTGGTGGTGAAACACTATTCTGCTTAAAAGGTTATGTCTTGATCTGCCCTGTTTCGCTGTTATGCCCTCTTTTTCTTTTTCTCAATCTCCACTCCATTATATACTTTTTTATTGTTATCCATTTAATTAAAGGGAAAAATATAGCAGGATATAATATAGTAACCCACTTTGACTTTCTATTTTCTCGATTTGAAGCCCTGTATTACTCTCACCATCTTGTTTTTGACTGAGGTTCCTCTATTCTGTTTTGCTGAATAGTATCAGGTTCGAAAGTTTAGGCATCAGCTGAGAAGATGATGAGATTCATTATAACGCCCATTCTCGTTGACTTCTATCTACTTTTGAAGACCTACAATATCTCCAATGTTTTGGTTTTGTCGGTTTTATCCTTTATGGTTTTGTTCAATAGTATTACAACTAATGATATAGGCAATTCTATTAGAAATAGCGGGAGGCATTAGGGTAACCATTGTTGATCACCTTGTATTATGTTTTTATATTATCTATTATATCCACCCTTTTGACTTGACCGATTCTGTTCTGTTATGTCACATTTGGTTTTACTCTCTTCCAAAAAAGCAATAAGAACAGTGGGAGCAATGAAATCCAAAATGTGTAATAGTCACTGTACAAAAGAGAGGAAAAGAAAATGCTCTAAACTATATAACTGCATGTATATTTAAATGTATAAGACAGAAAATGATATCACAGAGTTCTAATGGATCATTGAACAGAACTGTTTGCAGTATCATTGCTGGAATGTCCACTCTACAAACTTTAATTCTGTGACTTGAACAATTATTTCTAAGATGGCAATATGTAATCTATTAACTAGTGATTTCCTACTGCGCATTTTTTTCTTCTGTAAATCTGTATAACTTGTACCCTTCACTGTTTTTTTTTTTTTTCTTTTCTTTTCTCCTTAAATAAAAATTAAAAAAAAAAAAAAAAAAAAAAAAAGGCATTTCATTATTGAAACTGAAACTGGTACTTGTAACTGCCGATTAGTAGTAGTCAGGTTTTTTTTTAGTATTTCAAGTAATTTACAAACCGTTTACACACATAAATAGAAAGCTTTAAATACTGATGTTCTATAAAAAGTAAATAAAATATTTTTGTGCATTACAACTTAATTAAGTGGCATGATTTCATGTCACAAATTTAAAATGGGACAGGTGAGACTTGCCAACATTACTACAGCTGTGTTTTACATTAGGAAATTAATTAAAATGGTCATTTATGCCCCTTTTTTCACCTACAGTTATTTAGACCTCACTATATTACACCATATATTTTTCCTTCAATCGCTACATTCTGGTAATTTATTCTAGCAGGGAGTATCTCAGTCTGTTGCTGGTGGAAGGGAAAAGAGGAAACATTCAGTGAAAAATTTGGCCTGTGCTACCAGGAGGGGGTGCCTTCACATTTATTGACAGGTTCCCTCGTTTTTTCCCTGCCTTAGCCGAATTTAAATTTCTGTTTCATGAGAAGAGTTTTTTCTGGTATCAGTAAAAAGAGAAGCAGAAAAATCTTTGACATGCCATGTGACACATCCTTATTTGGACTTAGCTGTTTATGTGAGACCTTAGGTTTGAAGCTGACCTTCTCATATAGTTTTGTTATGGAATGTGCTAAACCTAAAGCAAATTAAAACATGCCTAAGGAAATAGTGAATCTGCAGTTAGCCATACAAATATTGGTCTGATTTTAGATATCAAAGCTAAATAAAGACTCCCTCGAGATATCAAGAACAAATCCATCACTCTGTACTTATTTACTGTGGTTATTTATGTTAACAATTATAAAATAATTACTTGATGAAGTTTTAACGACAAAGGCAATGTTGCTCCCCAAGAGACATCAGTTGCCAAACGAGGCTGAAGTTTTGGAAAACAACTAAGGACTTGGTGTACTAAAACATCACTGTCACCTCTTTATTGTTGGGTATGATTTACAATAATGGGCTAATCTGGTGGGGCTGGGGCTTTTTGTAGTTCCTCCAGTACCAAAAGTGTTTCTCTCGAGGGAGTCACCCCTGTGAGATAGTCCCTTGGCTTGGGTTTTAAGTGTAGCAGTCAAAGAGGAGTCCGAGGAAGAAGTTTCTGCAACATGCACACAGGAAAACCACTACAGTCATTTATAATAATTTTCTTCTACAGATCATGTACTTAACAGTACTTTGAGAAGCATTCTTTTCCCACTTGATAGTACTTGAAATGATTGGTAATTAATTACTTAATAGGCATCCCAGATAAAATGGGACTGCTCTTGGCTGTAGATAGTCCTCAAGAGCACGCCAGCACACAGCTGAGCCCCTCTTTCCTTTTGTAACCGTAACTCAAGCCTGTTGTGTGCTTTGCAGCACATCTGGCATACTTAACTTATTGCTGTGTTTCCTGGAGTTGTCTTGTCATCACAGAATGCATCCTCGTGCTTTTCTGTTATCTCTAGTGCTAATAACTATATTTTCACAGCAAAATATGCTGCTGTAATTCTTTATAACATTCATGTGCTACAATTCCACTTGTCTTTGAAAATTTAAATGATAGCTTTAAAAAAAAAAGTTTGCTTCACAGCTCCGAGCATGGGTGACTGAAGGTCTTTATTCCTTACTGGGACTACCTCCCCCAGTTTTTCCATTTTAGTTGCTATTTACAACTTGAGGCCAGCTCCAAAATTTTTCTCTCATGAGAACTCAATAGTCCTAATTTTACAAAATATAATTGTATAATCTGGGCTGTTGAGATGGGCCACCTACATGGGTTAAGCATTTAAAGTTGCCCTTTACTAGGACCGTGTCTCAGTGCTGCTCTGTTGCTTGCTAAGCAGGAATCTTCAGTCACCTCTTCTACTTTTAAGAACAATACTTCTGTGATTGAGAAGAAAAGTGTAAAGACAGAAGGCTGAGCCAAATGACTTCACAAAATCCATGTTCAGATTATTGATGTTAATAAAATTCAGAACAGGCGTAAGCATTTCTTTTTAACATCTAGCAGCAGTTTAATATAAGCACACCAAATTTCACTTTAAATCTCATTCATTGACTTTTCCCCCTAAGTTATTGCCACTATTTTTCCTTTCACTCCTTGATTCATTTTGAAAAGTTACAGTAAACAGACCTGTCAAATTGTTCAAAATTGTGAAAATTTGCCTAGTGGTAAAAATTGCCACAATTACAGAAAATGACTGGTTTCAACTCTGCTTTCCAGTTTCTACTATAGCTCTTTGCAGGCAATATGTGCTCAATTGCTGCCTGGCTGTGTACATACATGGAGAAATTCAAATACTACAAAATATTAGCAGCTCTTGTATCCGTCACCTTTCTGTTTCTGGGACAAAATACCTAACATATATAACTTAAAGAGAAGAGATTTAGTTAAGCTCATGTTTTCAGTCCATGATTACCAAGGCAAAAATGGTGGAAAAGCATGATAGAGCAAAGCTGTGCACTTCTTGGAAGCCAGGAAACAGAGGAGAGGCAAAGAGAAAGGAGCTAGAGACCTGACATGGTCCCCAACCTCATCCTCTCCTTGGCACACCTGGCTTGTACTTTGTGAATCTCCTCGGCCTCAGTCAAGCCAATCACACTGACATCGACTAACGGTCCCAAGTCTGTAGACAGCATCTGTAGATGCTGTCTGGAAACTGCTACTTTTTCTCCTTTGCTGAAGATGGTACAAAGATGCCTGCAAGATGATCTTTGCTCTACAAGTATTTTGAGCTAACTGATGAAATGATATAAATTTATGTGAGCAACAGTAAAATAACCAATGCTGAAGCTTGTGATTTTCTTATTTTGGAATTAGTGTTCAGACACAGATAAATACTGGTCAGAGTGATGATGAAGATATAACAATCCAGAGTTTGAAAGATCGTTAGGATATTTTTAAGGGCATCTGAGCTAAAAAGGAAGGAGAGGAGAAAAAAAATAGAAAAAATTAATTAAATTTCAATATAAAAATTGTATATTCTTTATATTAGGGTGGGTTTGATTATATAGTAGTAACCAATAATCTCCAAATCTAAGTAAATGCAACAAGAATTTGTTTTGCTCTCTCTTGATGCCCACTATGGCTGGTTAAGATTACCCTTACTGTTGTTACTCAAGAACTCTGTCAGCTTTGTCTTGATATATATTCTAATGGCGAAGAAGATAACTAGAAACCCAGGACCTTCACACTGAGCTATACCCAACCCTTTTTATTTCTAGATGGGGGTCTCACTAAATTGCCTAGGCAGAACTCGAACTTGCAGAGTGCTGGGAATATGGATGTGCACTACAATACATGATTTTAGTACATGTGGCATCATCACTATATTGTAACAAGTACCACTCTGAATCAGCATTGCTATGCATATGGCCAAATCAAGTCATATATCGTGTCTAACCTCAAGGGGAACAAAGAGGTATATTCCTGGTGCATTTTGTGCCCAAAATGTACAGCCAGAAATACTTGCAGAACAGCATCAGTGGTTGGCATGTTGCTCTATGTAATGTTTGGCAAACCGAGAGTGTACAATTGTGATCCCTCTTTGAGCTTCCCACATGGAAATACTCTCACTGTTGTCTCAAAATACATCATACGTCTGCAAAGGACACGTAACAGCCCCTTGCTAGTTCTCGCCTTAGCATTGGGCAGAAGACATAAATGAGTAGGGTTGGGGACTACTGGAAAATAAGGAGTGAACTTGAGGAACTGTGGTCTTTTTATGGGACACAGGTTCCTTCCCTGCTTTCAAGTTCTTTGTTGCTGTGTAAGAATTTGGGTTTGGTGATACTGAAGCTGCTCATTTTCCCAGAGAACCTGGAAGTCTGGATTTTCACATGAGATTCAGGTTTTTCATTCTTGGATCAGTAATCTAGGTCACCAGTTTACGATCTTTAACCCAGCTCCTAATGTAGCCACTAAATAATTGCAGTAGGATTACAACTTTCCCCAATAGAAGTTTTACACATCATTTGTAAGATTGGGTTATAAATATCCTTACCAGGAAGATAACAGGCAAGAAAATACTTTATATCACAAATTTTCTTGTAGAGTTGGAGCTATGGGAGGATGAGGCAAACTGAGGTTATTGCTTAATGACCTTTAATTAAATGAAACCCTTTCTGAAATATGCAAATAAGAAAATATTTATCAAAAACTTGAAATGTCCCCCCAAAATATATCTATACCTAGGAGCTTCTACTACTCTTAAAATTCTTCTTGAAGTCAGTGATGTCCAGAAATTAATTAATTAATTAACTAATGTATGCTCTGGCCCTCACCATTATATGAACAACCTATAATAGAATGAGATTGTCTCTCGGCGAGAAAAAGTTGGACAAGCAACTGTAATGATACATAGGCATATGAGTAATAAGAACCTACAGTATAAATCACAATCAGTTCTCATTTATGGATTAGTTATTGGCAAACGTAACTTCATGCCAAAATTTTATTTGTAACTCTAGAATCTGTACTCACAGTTTACAGGATCATTCACTAAAATATGAAGAGCCTCCAACCAGAATCAAAGATGATGTTTTGCCTTCTTCTCTCAGCTGTCTACTACCAAGCATCCTTTCTGCAGTCTAGTTAGTGTCACTCTTTATACTTTCTTTTCATTGCTTTAAAAGGCCCCAACCATTGTCCTAAAGTGCTGGCTAGTGTCCCTAACCAAGAGAAGTCCATGATGTGCCTTCTGAAGAAATACGAGGATTGTTAGATCACCTTCCTCTAGACATGAGTCATAGTGCTGCTGGTCACAAATCCAATCAATCAGCAATATATAGTAAATACGGAGATTTTTAAAAACTTACATTTAACAAAGTTGTGTTGATCTGGTAATGAAAATCTTGCACCCAAAGGCTCACACTCAGAGAGTTTCGTAGTTGTTGTTATTAATGTATTTCAAGGCTTCATTTGGTGGTAAGCGGGTGGGCAGGAACTCACTATGTAGCCCAGGCTAGCCTCCAACTCACAATGTCCCTCCTGTCTTAATTTCCCGAGTGCTGAGATTACAGGTGTACACCATCACACCTGGCTTGAATTTTGTTGTTGTTGTTATAGTTGTTCCTTTCTCTGACCCATCACTAAAATGTGTCTAGAGACTTGGGCTGCAGACATTTTGGTATTGTCCATTTGGCAATTTCCTTTTGGTATTTTATTTATTTTGAGCTCCTTTTGGATAGAGTGTAAAATGAGCAAACTCATACTGAGTCTCAGAGAATTCTATTTCACTGCAATGCAAAGTGATTTGGTGTAAGACTCTTTTAGGGGCCCTCCCACACATGCACATACGTGGGAGTGTACATACATATAATTTAAACTGTTTAAGGAATCTGTGAGGTACAGAGATAAGAGGTTTAAGGTCAAATATTTCTCATTGCAACCTGAAATTTTAGTTGAATTCTAGTTAATATTTTAGAATCAAACCTTCTCTTGTAAGAACCTTAGTATTTAGTAGATAATATCTTGAATAAGTATATAAATCAGCCCCATCATGTTTTGAATTTAATAGCTGCCTTATTAACCAAAATTGAGTATTAATAATAAAGTCAACATATTTACTGCCCTTCTTCAGTGGGATGATTTTCATTATTCATTACTCAATTACTTTTGCAATAAAAAGAAATGAGTTATGATTTGTTTTGGACATGCATGTTATTAAATTAACAGCTTGTTTCAAATGTTTTAACCTAAATGTTGTAGTTGAAAATCATAGTAAAACTTTGTACTTCACCTTATCGAGGATAATAAACCTGTTCTAATCAAAACATTGAAACTCGCTCCATTTTTAATCACTATGCAACAATATCATATTGTTATATACCAGGAATATGAAATTTTTAAGGAAACAGTAGTGATCAAATTATGCTCCTCAATTAATTAGGCAATAACCCATGAAAGATCTATTGTTACCACTGGCAAAGACTCGTTTGCTATTTAATGACCCAAGCTGAAGTCAGGCTGAGCTAAGCTGAAAGAAGATACTCGTTAACCACAGGAAGGATGAATTTTGAGAATTATAATTACTATATTAAATAGAATTGGGTGGTTTATTACAGCCCCCTTTTGAAACATAGCATTATAAAGAATTCCTCCCTTCAGCAAGGCAAGAAGTTTGATATCCTCCTCTGTTTATGTTATAATTACTCAATAAAATCCAGATGAAATTAGTTGTTACCAGTAATTAATGACCAGTTTAATAAAAAGGGAGTCCAGCAGATGGTGATTATTTTTTAATAGGACCTGCTTGAAGAAAGCATCCTGATAGTAAACTCTTAATGGCAGTTTGTAGCTAACGTGGCTGACCATCCCCATCTTATTGGTTACCATGGCCCAGTCCAAGCTTGCATAAGGGCCAGGCCTCATTTCTTCACCAGTGAATATTCTTTATGAAAAGTAAATGGCACTCTGGTTACTGACACAAATAAAAAAGGTTCTGTTAGTGTGCTAGAGGAGGTATTGTGAAAGACTGGGGGGTTCCATGCATGACTTCAGGGGCGCCTTCCTTGCACAGCTGTGTAAGATTCTGAAAGGACCCTCCATGAAAATAAAAGTTAATTCTTATCCTGTATTTTTAAAGAAGTCATACACCTGAAGGCAAATAGAAGGGTAGATGTGGCTACAATCCCCGCATCTCCTTTGCTGTTGGGCAGCATTTTCTTTCTTACAAAGATATGAGTGCTGCTTTTCCGGCAGTCATGCTTAAGATGTGAGAAAGTCGAAATGCAGGCTGGCAACAGTAGTGCACAGGATTTGCCCAGACATCAGTGTGACAGAAGACGGCTGATGTGCTCACATGGGCCCTGACCCAATCACACTGTGGGCTTCTCTTTTGAGCTGAGCTGTTTCTAGCAGTCCTCCGCCTTCTGCTTTGGCACTCTTTGTGCCCTCCCTTAGACTCGCCCACCAGGCTCTTTTATCTGTAAATGGGGTTTTCATTTATTTGCTTACTTATTACCAGTTCTAAAAGAACAAAAGATGCTTTTACAGGATAAAGTACATAAAACATAGAAACCTGGGGAGGCTACACCTTTGATTACAGGCACATTGTAGCTAGCACATGGTAGGGCAGGAGTGGGTCTTGCCTGCAGGTACCACCTTTGTTCCCCTGTGTCCTGCCTCACTGAAAATGATCAAGGGCATGAAGCTCAGTCATAAGGAGAGAAGGGGAAGTCTGAAATAAGATGACCAAAGTAGCTTGGCACAGTGGCACACACCTGTGATCCCATCTACCCAGCAGGCAAGACAGGAAAATTTAAAGTTCAAAGCCAACTAGGACAATATGGTGAAAGTCCTTTTCACAATTGAAAAATAAAGAGTCTGAGAATGTAGCTAGGTGGTAGAACACTTCTGGCTTCAGTACTCAGTATTGAAGAAACCAAAACAAAACAAAAAGGACAACGGTGATGTCTTTATTTGAACACAAGGGAATTTGAGTGGATTTGAGCTGAGCTCTGACCCAGACCTAGCGCTCCATTCACAGGTGGGGTCTCCTGGGTCTCACCTTGCTCTGTCTGCAGAAAGCAGAAATAAGTCAAGCCTTAGGGGAGTCCCTCCCCTCACTCCTACTTGTCCAACAAGTATAGCCTTTAGTTTTGGAGTTTTTCCTTAACACATTGCATCATTAGAAAAGGTTAAGTACAAAAGAGGGCCAAGAGAGGAGAAGAGGAGGGCAGGGAAGAGAAGGGAAAGAGGGGTAGGGAAAGAAAAGAAAAGAAGAAATCATCTAACCTGTTCCATGGTTTCCCTTTGGTTCCATTAGGCCTAATGGCAGATTCTCTAAGCCCTTTGGAGGTGAATTAACTCTTTCAAAGACACTGGGGTTCCATTCAGTGAATTACCCTCTGAATGGCTTCTGGGAATCCTAAAAGACATATAATGCCTCCTCACAAACTTCTCATGTTCTCCCAGGGAGTGATGTAGACACAGAGAAGTGTGGTTCATTGCGTAAATGAAGCCAAAGCCAGCTGTGCAATTAAGCAGTGTGATTTTTAAACACCACCTGCACCAATCACAAATCAGGATGAGGCAAGGGAGCTTGATTGTGGCATTCCTGGTCTCTTCTCAGTTTTAATGGGCAGTGCTGGCATTCGGTTTGCAATTGCAGTCCGCAGAATTCCTCTTTCTCCAGTCCTGCATTGTACCTTTAAGACGACATGTGCTGTGAGCCCCACTGTAAATAAGACGGGGTAGGGAAGCTACTGATGTTTTAGTTTTTATACATTTCATTTTTTAAAAATTTTAACTTTCACTTTTACCTCCGACTGTTTCGCTGATCTCAGACTATGTTGCTGATGCCTTTCTCACTACTGCCTCTTCCCAACTCCATTTATAGGAGTGGGTGAGAGATTTCCTTCTAAAACCAGTCACGGTTGGAGGCTCTTATCATTCCATGGTATGCAGAGAATGGAGGGAAACTGCCCTAACATTTTTCTCCCCTTTTTGAATGGAAAACAAGTTTAGTTGCAGGTCTAACCAGAGCAAAATTCCTTAGGTCCAAAGATTTGCGAGCAGACTTTCCACTCCCAGTAAGAGAAAGAATTAGATTTTTTTTCCTCTGGGTGGCTTTGGTTTCACAATAAGAAACAGAGGGTCAGAGACTTTGTGAAGAATCCCCCAGGCGACTAAATGGGAGGTGTAAGTGAAAATCGTAGTAAAGTTCCCTTCATAGCAGAAACCCATCTCTTACTACAGCAAATTGCTAGGATCTCATTATTGAAGGAGGTTTGTGGATAGTTTGAAATTGACCTGCTTCTGTTCTTAACTCCTAATGAAGTGTTTCTTGGAGGGGGCCAGCAGCTCCTCTGCTGCTTTCAGCAAGGAGCCCTCATTTGCATGCCAAAGGCATGCACTAATCCTTAGCATCAGCTGGTTCCCAGAGTCGCATATTTCCCACAATCCTGTTTATCCTGCTGGTTTATTTAGCAAGGATTTTCTTCACAGAGTACAGGCCCCCATTTCAGGCCAACCTGATTATACCAAATCCCTAATTAGTGTAATTATGGCTTTAATGGATTACAGTCAAGAATATAAACCATACAGCCCCCTTTAAAGCACCGTTGCTTATTGAGAGTACAGGAATTGTCCAGGCCTAGGGCTTCTTCTTTTTTTTTTTTTTTTTTTTCCTAGGGCTTCTGGGACGAAAGTCCCAGGCGCCACCACTGCATCCAATG